TGTGTGTGTGTGTGTGTGTGTGTGTATCGATAGATATAGATATAAATAGATATATTTTTAAGGTAATTAAAATAAATAGTCAACATTCAAAAGGCCTAAACTACAGTAGCACCAGTGTTCCATTAAGTGAGCCTTCGTTCCATCAGTTCAGCCTGAGGGACTTGTGACGGCATCTGACTATTGCCATGAACCCAACATGGCATCTTGGTGTTTAGTTTACGCTAAAAGGATCTCATGCCAAAGCTACTTAACTAACCTGCTGGCTTGTTTATATCTTTCTTACTAATTTCATATTATTACATCTGTGATCCACTGATTTCATATCCTGCTTCCTGGCACTGAGCTTTTATCTCATGGCTCCTCATTTTCAAATGGCTGAGTTTTTTCCATTTGCTAAAGCCCAATGGAACCCTTTTTTTTAAAAACATCTTTCTAATTCTTTAGATGCTCAGTTTTAGGCACTAAACACATTTTCAAATGGCATAAAGCAAAGGTGATGGAGAGAGACTCCTCCCCAGTCACCTTAATAACTACTCTTTCTCCCTAAAGGAACTATTTTTATCCAAACTTCAATTTTTTTTCTTTTTTAAAAAAAAATATTTTTTATTGATTTTTTTCAGAGAGGAAGGGAGAGGGATACAGAGTTAGAAACATCAATGAGAGAGAAACATCGATTCAGCTGCCTCTTGCATGCCCCCTACTGGGGATGTGCCCACAACCCAGATACATGCCCTTGACCGGAATTGAACCTGGGACCCTTCAGTTCGCAGGCCGATGCTCTATCCGCTGAGCCAAACCAGTTAGGGCCCAAACTTCAATTTATTACCCTTAGAAGCAAAGCAGAACCAACGTAAACTGCATTCCTAAGATGAGCTAGTTTATGCTCTCCCTCTCATTGGTCATTCTACATGTGCCACAAGTTCCTGCATTCATAATGGGACGTGATGTCTCAAGATGCAGATTACACTATTGAGACATATTTTACATATTACAACATTTTTGTTGATTTGTTATTTTTTTTTCCTTAATACATCCACCTTCCATTGCACATATACTAGTCAGTGTGTTGGACTTGGCGAATGAGCTTGTCATGAGGATTGAATAGGATCAGACAGTACCTGACCGCATACCATAGGAGAGCTCAATAAATGGTGGACATTGTTCTCATAAATCACTTTTTCCCCAAACTTCTTTGCAGAATAGTTACCTACCAATAAAACAACCCACACAGTTTTCACATGTAGAGAGAAACAAATCCATCAGAACACAGCTTTGTTAGAGTGACCTTTGCAGAGTGAACTCATAGTGTTGATGGGGGGATTGATTTCTGACTGAGCCACTCTCAAGTTATCAGTTCATCTGCTTATCTCATCTGCCTCACTCTTCTAACCAGATGATCCTAGACAGGCCCCTAATCAATATATAGTAATATCTGGGCACCTATGAATAACTAGATAGAGGTCACAGTAATGAAGACCTGTTTAAAAAGAGACCAGCCGAAACCAGTTTGGCTCAGTGGATAGAGCGTCGGCCTGCGGACTGAAGGGTCCCAGGTTCGATTCCGGTCGGGGGCATGTACCTGGGTTGCGGGCACATCCCCGGGGGGAGATGTGCAGGAGGCAGCTGATCGATGTTTCTCTCTCATCGATGTTTCTGACTCTCTGTCTCTCTCCCTTCCTCTCTGTAAAAAATCAATAAAATATATTTTAAAAAAAAGAGAGAGAGAGAGAGACCAAAGAGGAGAAATGGAAGTGTGAAGGGAAAGACTGTCAGTAAGGAGATAGGGAGAGAAAAGAAACGAGTTGGAAAAGAGGGGGAGAAATGTTGAGTTATGTTGAAAAGAGAAATTTTAAAAATGCGTACTTACCATTAACCTGTATGATCTGCTTCTGTCCTGGCAGATGCTCCTCCTCTTCTCTCTCTTTGCTGTTCTGTGTCCTGTCAGTGAAGTTTCAGGCACTGAGATGGGTGGCTGACCTGCCTCTTCTTCCCCAATGGAGATAGCGACCTGCGTACAAATGTTGGTGTTTTCTTAAGGTCCATCTGATTCAGATGTCTGATTATTTCCGAATCTGTTATCTTCTAGGTTTTTCAACTTATGCCTTCCATGTGCAGTGATTTAAAAACTGCAAAGAATTATGCTAATTCTTATGTCTCTACTATTAAGGATTATTGTCTGAAAACAGTTGTCTTGTGATCCTACAAATCATTTTGAAACCCCCAGTGTATATTGCTATAAAAAAGTATATTGTAAACTGAGTGAAAAACTAGTTCATCATGACAACTTTTTTATCACTGTACTGTTTCTATTAATTCATTTGGAATTTGATTCTAACAACGTAAATATTGTGCTAGATGCTTTATATAACATATCACATGGTGCTCCAAGAGCCTATGTAAACTGTCAAGAATATGTTTCTTTCCCTCCCTCTCTCCCTTTCTCTTTTAATAATATCTATACTAATAAAAGGGTAATATGCTAATTAGACCGGGAGACTTTCCGGGCAAAGCCATGTTGGTGGGGCCAAGGCAGAGACGGTTAGGGGCGATCAGGCCAGGAGGGGAGGGCAGTTGGGGGCAAGCAGGCCGTCAGGGGGGCAGTAGGGGGCAAGCAGGGTGGCAGGGGAGTGGTTAGGGGGTGATCAGGCTGGCAGGCAGAAGCGGTTAGGAGCAATCAGGCAGGCAGGCAGGCAGGCAGGCAGGCGAGCAATTGGGAGCCAGCAGTCCCGGATTGTGAGAGGGATGTCTGACTGCCGGTTTAGGGCCGATCCCACAGGGGGGTCCCAGATTGGAGAGGGTGCAGGCCTGACAATTAAGGGAACTTAATTATTTCAGTTGCAGCTTTCCACGGGGATTTGCACAGCAGTCATTCATAAATTCCAGTTTTTAAAAACACAAGTACAGCCCTAGCCTGTTTGGCTCAGTGGTTGGAGCATCGGCTCTGGGACTAAAGGGTCCCAGGTTCAATTCCAGTTAAGGGTGCATACCTCAGTTGCAGGCTTGATCCCCAGGCCTGGTTCTGGTGCATGCGGGAGCCAACCAATCGATGTGTCTCTCTCACATCAATGTCTCTCTCCCGCCCTTCCACTCTCTCTAAAAATCAATGGAAAAGAGTATGTCCTCGGATGAGGATTAACAACAACAAAAATAAACCACAAGTGCAGAGTGCTTTGCACAAGAACAGAGTGTTTCGATGAAGTAATGTGACTGATTTGTTTCAAAAACATGTGAGTGTTGTCTCTTAACTAGTCACTGAAGGAACCCAAGAACCTTTCCAAAAATGCTGCAGTTGCACAAAATCTTTTTGAAACTCTTCTTGCAGAGTTACTTTCAAAGCCTGGAGCCCATTCTTTGAGCAGTCATAAGCTGGGCAAACCCCCTTCCTTTGAGATTGAATTCAATTTTGGAAACAGCCTGAAGCCTAATTTGGTGGAATAAGGTATATAAGAATAGTTTAAATACCTTTAACTTCATTACGGAAAGAGTAAAATGTAATAGTTATTATTCTGCCCTAAAATTATTTTTTAATGTTTATACTATACCCAGGTATGGTTGAGCATATTATAAGCATTAAAAAAAAATTATTTGAGGATGCAAATGTCACACATGATGTCTTTTTCTTGAGGAGTGTACCCTATGTATATGGAAAGCACAATTTTTTGGAAAAAATTATACATGAATTTAGACCGAAGGTTCAGCTATCACTGTCTACTTGTACTGTCTTCTTCATTACACGATGTGGGAATGTGTTTACAAATTACATTTTTTCAGATTCTCCCCCCTCCCGCCCCCATGTCATGGTTTTGTCATTGTAGGCAAGACCCTACTCCTGACTTTCTCACATGGTAGCTAACAATTACCAGCATGAAGTTTTTGGTTTTTGTCTGAGAATCACCTGCTAGTTAATATTGGTGAACTGACTGGTCTACTTACTGGTAAGTCCTGAGCATACCAGCTTGTTCTAGCATATACATGATGTCTTTTTCTTGAGGAGTGTACCCTATGTATATGGAAAGCACAATTTTTTGGAAAAAATTATACATGAATTTAGACCGAAGGTTCAGCTATCACTGTCTACTTGTACTGTCTTCTTCATTACACGATGTGGGAATGTGTTTACAAATTACATTTTTTCAGATCCTCCCCCCACCCGCTCCATGTCATGGTTTTGTCATTGTATGCAAGACCCTACTCCTGACTTTCTCACATGGTAGCTATCAATTACCAGCATGAAGTTTTTGGTTTTTGTCTGAGAATCACCTGCTAGTTAATATTGGTGAACTGATTGGTCTACTTACTGGTAAGTCCTGAGCATACCAGCTTGTTCTAGCATATCTTCCTGTTCCCTATTCTTGACTTTGGGTCAGAATGGATTTATTAGCATAGCATTTTTATCTGAGATCTTATTTTAGTACTGTATTTCTCCATAAATTTTATGTGATATGTCTACACTCTTCTCTAACCCACCATAATTCAACAAGCATTTCCCTACCGCTTACTCTATGTGGGAAGACAAGGCTAAAGAGATGGGTGTGATGCCCTTTATGAGCTGCCAGTGTGGGGAGAGGAGAGCAGGACACACACACACACACACACACACACACACACACACACACACAACTAATGCCATGTGATAAGAATTCCACAGTAGTTATCAGCTGCTAATGGGAACAGAGATGTAGCAATTCTTTTTCTTAAGGTGAGCTGAGATAAGAGGTGATGCTTGAAGTGAGGTTGATGAGGAATAAAGTACTTGGCCGTTGCTGGATGGAGAAAATCATTTCGGGGAGGAAAGAACAAGGATAGGATGCTTGAAAGTTCAAATTCGTATTTTTTGATGACTACTGAGGGGTCTCCTGTGGCTAGTGTGGTTGGGGCAGGAGGACTAGCAGCAAGAGCAGAGTGGGAAGGATCTGGAGCCCCCATTCAGAATTCTCCTCCTTGCTTTGTTATCTTTGCTTCACTTCCGGCTTTGGCTCTACTACTGATTCTTTGAAACTTCAGGGAAATCATTCTGTCTGGTCTTCAGTTTCCTCCCCTGTAAAGAGAGAGGGCTGAATGACCTGATTTGTTAGATCCCTTCCAACATGAAGAGTGCAAGTCTTTGAAGAAACTGCCCTACTTCTCTGCACTCCTCTGTAGCCTTTGTATAAAGAATTCTATCAGACTGAACAAACTGAGGGAAGCGTTTTGAATATGAATAGAATCCTTGCTTTCTTACTTGCTTTGGCCTCTTTTATTTTTTTTTCTTTTATTTCTTTCCCTGGGTAAACCTATACCTGTTTGAGGTAGGACTTCGGCTGGAACATACCTCACCTATCCTCTTACGCATTTATAGATACATATCAGCATTCTTGTCGCATTCAGACAACCCCACCTTGCCATTTGGCTGCAGGGACAGTGCCAGTATGCCTTCTGGACCAGTCATAGTAGAAATGTCTAATCAAATAACTTAATGTAAAACCTGTCACACAAATGGGGATTGCAAGTTTCTCTGGTATAGTTGAGGTCTGAAAACAGTCATATATTGCACTTGAATACAGAATACAATTGAAGGTTACCAAACCTTTTTCCTTCTCAATGAAGTCAGGGATACTAGCTTACCACTTCAGCTTAATAATCATTATAACATTTTTAAAGCACATTTTATATTCCTTAAAATACTTTTATTTACATCAGTAGTTGAATTTAACACATATTTTTTGAGGGCCTACTATTGTTAGGCACTGTACTATGCTATAAGGATATTAGGATGTATTAGACATGGACCCTGCCCTCAAGAACATAAGAGCATTTTTCACTGTAATTTGAGCAATATCTTAATATTAAATGGGAGTTTCAGTCCATTGTGGTAAATAAGAATATGTACAGGCATTTTCAAGAGAATAGTGGAGGAGAAACTAGCCCAGTGTGGGACTGAGTAAAGACTTCTTAAAGGAAATGATAATACCTAAGCCTTAAAGGAGGAATAGAGTTAGCATCCACCTCTCCTCACTGAGAGAGAGAGAGAGAGAGAGAGAGAGAGAGAGAGAGAGAGAGAATGAGAATGTTCTATCCAGAAATAATAGCCAAAAGGAAGTTTATATGAAAACAGTCTGGTGACTATGGAGAACTAACATTACTATTCAAATGAAGACACTTATGTAGGCGAATAAGCAAAGCATGTGAAGGCATCCAGAGACCAGCAAGAGTGGGAAGTCTGAAAGCACAAGGGAAGGAAATAGTGCTGCTGGAGCTCACTGAGAGAGAGAGAGAGAGAGAGAGAGAGAGAGAGAGAGAGAGAGAGAGAGAGAGAGAGAGAGAATGAGAATGAATGAGAGAATGTTCAATCCAGAAATAATAGCCAAAAGGAAGTTTATGTGAAACAGTCTGGTGACTATGGAGAACTAACATTACCAGAACATAAAATGTATAATACTGACTGACAATGAATGAGGCAGGAGCAGTAGATTGGAGGAAGGTCACAGAGGATGACCTTTTATGCCTTGAGAAGGAGTTTGGACTTACCTATAAGACAAAGGATCCACTGAAGGGTTTACCTAGGAATATGATAGGTTTGAGTTTTTTTAGAAATTACTCCAGTAACAAGGTTCAAGATTATTTTAGAACAAAACGGGAAGCAGAGATTAGCTGGCTATGAGACAACGCAGGTGAGATTGTTTTAGTAGGAAAGCTGGGGAGAGAATGGGTTTGAGAAATGTCAAGACAATAAAACTGGAGAAACAGGTGATGAATTGGATTGATAGAGGGAGGAAGCTAAGTGACTGTTTTTCTCTGCAGGAAGGCTGTGTGGATTGTGATGCCATTGGTTAAGCCATAGAACATAAGAGGAAAAGGAGATTCTGGTATTAAAATGATGAGCCTCTTTTATAAAAGTCAAAATTGACATGGAAGTCTGTGCTATAAGAAGAAACATATTTGGTCTTTACCCCCAGTTTCTGGTAGGGAGCTCTTAAAATTGGAATTTCATGAGTGATTGGACTGTCTTTTGTTTTTCATAAATAACCTCTTTCAATCACACCTGAGTGTATGCTAACGAAGTGATTTAGGGGTAAGCCCCTAAATAGCCTCAAGATGGGGTTGGTCACCTGAAAAGCCAAGTGTTTACAGGTTGGGAGCTTTCAGCCCCACCCCTACCTTCCTGGGATGGGAGGTGGCCTGGAGATTAAATGCTATAAAAACGCTTGAACAAGATTTGATGAGCTTCCAGATAGGTGAACAAATGAAAGTGCCCGGAGGATAATGCATCCAAAGGCATGAATGCTCCACAAACCCACATACCTTTCCCTATAGCAGTCTCTCCCATCTGACTGCTCTTGAGTTGTAGTCTTTATGATTAACTGGAAAACGTAAATTAAGCATTTCCATAAAATCTGTGAGTCATTCTAGCAAATTATCAAACCTGATGAGGGTGGGGAAGGTCATGGGAGCCCCTGATTTATAGTCTGTTGGCCTGGGACTTGCAGCTGGTGTCTGAAGTGGAGGCAGTCTTGTGGGGCTGAGCCCTGAACCTGTGGGGTCTGTGCTAACTCCAGGTAGTGAATTGAATTGAATTGAATTGAATTGAATTGAACTGAATTGAATTGAACTGAACTGAACTGAACTGAATTGTTGGATACCCAGTTGAAGTCTGAAGAATTGGAGAATTGGTTGCTGATACCAGAAAAGGTCTTAGCTGAAAGATAGATTTGGGAATTTTCAGCATATAGGTTAATCATATAGTTAAAATCATGAGAGTGGATGGAATTTTCCTATGGAAAGAAGAGTAGAGGACCAAAGAGAGAACTTAGGAATGATTTTATGTTGGGATGAAAGTCAAAAAGAGGCCACAAAGGTGGAGAATAAACAGCACAGCAGAAAGCAAAACAAAATTAAAACACAGACAAGGGAAAGAGAATCTCAAGAGATACTCAATGGTGGCTGGTTCTACCAATAGCAGCATTAAAAGAACTGAAATGACCCTAAACATTTACCAATATAAAGATTATCAGTGAACTTTGTCAGAAAAATTTTAGTGGAG